TGAAAGTATCGTTTTCTTCTCTTTACCCCATTTTGAACTCACGCGTACTAGCCTCAAGGTTAAGCTCGTCAGCCTAATGAGTCAAGGTGTTAATCTAGATTAGACAAGTTATCCTCAGCACCAGAAGTTGGTAGACAAATCAAGGACGTAACACAGAGTAAATATCATTATGTGTACTATTGAAAACTAGTAAGATAATGGATTTTGCTGAGATTTTTGAATTTGAAGTAGAGAACTGTCGAGCAATTGAAGACTATGGAATAATATGTAAACATTTTAATTCAGTTCTCGGAACTCCTATATTGAATCAAATTTTAGACTTATGTGTCTCACTATCTGAATGATGGATACTGTTGTGAACGAGAACACAAGTGTGGATAACCAAATGTGTTTAAATACAAAATTACAGAATATCTTGGTAAAAAGTTACGAACCATACAGTAAATACTTCATTTACAAAATGTCAATCAATCGTCTCAGATTTTATTGTTCCTTCATTTCCACATCAATCACTCACTATTCTCGTTCTCTTTTCTTGGATCTTCTTAACTTTCTACCACCAGGCATTTCACTTTCGATCGATGATACTTACTACTTGTATCTGTAGACACACACAATAGATACCCTTAGACAAATGAATCAAAGATTCAATGGTTTGCATTTTAAACTTCAGTCAATTCTGAATGATCAGTATGCTTATTATTCTCTTATCTATTCACCAAAGCAGCGAGTTTCGTTCTAAAGTAAAGAGGTCAGTCTTGAAGCTATCTTCATTTCATCATTATTATCCTTTTCTTTCTTATCTTATCTAGTTTCTTCAGACTCTAACGATACAATATTAAACCTTGTTATTTTTTCTTGTTTCATTGACCTTATGGTAAATTATTTTTAACGTCTTAACGATAACCTATACATAATTATGCAATTTAATCATGTTCATTTTGTTCCCTTGTATTCCAGCTATGATGAGTAATTTTCTTTGTTTTTGTTTTAATCATATCATCATAATTTAGATCAATCCTTGCTTATGATATCGTTTATTTTTTCTTTACTATATCACTTTGTTCTCATAGCAACAAAATCGTTGTAATAAAATATGTGTTGTGTTTATTTGCATTAACTGTTGTCTACAGAAAAGCAAACAAACAACCAAAACTAAAACAACAACAAAATAACAATTTATCTTATCAAATAGATTACAGACACGAGTATAATATTTAAATTGTTAATTTTTAAACGTTTTTTTCTTCAAATCTTTTATTCAATGTTCAATAGTTCTTATTACTTTGCTTTACCTCAATATTTCTCATTCATTATGTAGCGCAATTATAAAGTTTTATACACGTGAATTAATTGATTAATTCAATCTCATGTGTTTATTGATCGAACAGTGTAATTGATTAATAGTATTTGAAATATAAATCATATGTGTATACTGATCATCAATAAATCGATGTTTACAAAACAAACAAATATATTTTGTCTTTTCTTATAAGTAGTATCATTAATAACAAACACAGGGTTTTTTCTCTGAATTACATTTCTCAATGCATTTCTTTGTGCTTAAAATGTACTTAATTACTTACGCCTATTACTCCTAATGGAGCATAGGTCGCCGATAAGCATTGTCCAGCCCACTCTATCCTTGGTCTTCCCTTCTGGTTCTATTCAATTCTTGTTCATTCTTCTCATATCTGTCTCCATTTTTCGGTGTAATGTGTCCTTTGGTCTTCTGATGGGCTCCAGGCGTAGTTGCTTAAAATGTGGAGATATGGAGACTCTTAGATTTTGAGATATGTAACAAATCTATAGTTGACGCCATTTAGTTCATGATATTTATTGTTTATTGTAAAATGTGTTTGGATTTGTTGGAACACTAAATAACAAATGATGGTTTTTATCTTTTCATTGTTTTAAAAAAAAATCTATATTGTATATGTATTATGGTATGTTGGTAACGAGTTGTAAAAAGAAATTGAAAAAGGTTACATTTTCATGAAACTTAGGTGGAGTTGTAGAGAACAATAAGTGTGGATTATTCCTGAATATTCACGTTTGAATTGTGTTATAAGTATATGAACCTACAGACAAATTGAGATTAGTACGTTAAAGGACTGGATGAAATAAAAAAAATATGCTTACTTACTTCAGGCGATCAATTATTTCGAGCCGAAAGTATACTTTTGTGAATTATAATGTTCCTCTGTTTTATCATATGACAATCCATTTTGAAATATTCATCTTATTATGTCAATATTAAGGATCATTAAAACGATTGTTTAGTAACAACATGAACTAATGAGAACTAGCAGGATGAAATGTACAACTTTGCCGTTTGAATTTGTGATTGTTGAGTAATAATCTGAGACAAAGCAGTTAGTTTTTGATGAGAAGTAACTTTTTATATCAAAACACTCGTATTTGTTGCCAGAAATACATTATCTATTTTAATTAAAGATTGTAGTGATTGTAAATGACCTGTGACTTAACGAATCGACAATGGGATATGGGGGTTTGAGGAATTCACATAAGTAATCATTTTATGCTTTCACATACTTGTCTCTATTCTTTCGGAAGAACTTTGCTCAACGTTGCTTGTAGTATTATTAGCTCCCAAAGAATCCTACTAGTCAATAAGAATCCAGGAAACACTGAATGTATAGAAGAAAGGTCTTATGAGTAATGCATTATTTTCGAGAAAAGCCGCTATTTTATACTTTTAGAAATTCCCTGGCATCATTGTCTTCAAACATATAACTTGAATACCTAAATTGATCTTACAGAGTCCTTACTGAGGCCATTTCTGAATAATATACTATCACAGCAGTTAGATTTTATCTAATTTAGTCATTGCAATTTGTGTGTGAAAGGAGCAATCGATGGCTTGTATTTATTGGAAAATTTCACCGTAAATATGTTTGTGAACATGGAACTACTTATTTCAACGCAAGTAGTATGACAGTAATAAAATATTATTTCTATCTGTCTAGCTTAAAATAGCACTTCTATCATTTGTACTATTTGTATAGGAAAAGCGTTTCTTATGTATCATTCGTTGTTTTAATTCCCTATGCTAGAAAAGATCCGAGTTATCAATTTTCATGATTAACTGTTAATTCTTTCTTGTGGTGGAAACCTTTAGTACATTTTTTAAAATTGCAGCTCAGATGAAGTGAAAGATGAATTTTAAAGAAATCTTTCTGAACTTCTTCAGAAAGCTAAACGCTCATACATAGCACTCGTAGAAGGTGACTTTAATGCTCAGATAGGTAGTTTAAACCAAACAGAAAGGCATTTAGGTGGATATTTTAGTATTCCGACACAGCGAACAGATAATGGTGATCGTCTGCTGCAACTATGCTCAAACAATCGTTTATTCTTAGCAAACACAAATTCTAAGCATTAGGAGAGACATCGTCTAACATGGCAACCCCCTACACCAAACCAACGATGGACTCAAATAGACCATATTGCATCAATCATCGTTGGAGAGGGTCGGTACAAGATTGTCGCTCATTCTGGAGTACCTGCTTGGACTCCGACCACGCCCTAATATGGGCACGCATCTGCTTGTGCCTGACTGGACGCAAAAAAGCCACATTAAAAAGACCCATTGGAACTTAATTGAGTAACGAGAAAACCAAAAGTAGGTTCCAGGAACAACTGAGGTCACACTTAGGTAGTTCTGAAGACGAGGCTGATCCAGATGTTGTTTGGAAAGGCATACAATCAGCTGTGGAAACAGCTAACCACTCCTATGAATCCGGTGTTCATCTTGCTGTGCTAATGAGGTATGGCAACCTGGACCGATGCACAAAGAAACGGAAAAACAAACTTTAATTCCCTCAGTATTGATAAGTTAAATCTTATTTCATCGATTTAAGGCTATATGAAAATAGAATAAGATTAAATTTCTACTGTTTTGAAACATAATACGTAAACATTTTAGAACATGCAAGCAATTGTGATAGAGATACATACTTTGCTTTACATCACCATGTTTTCTTTTAGTTAATTGAAATTACATTCAAATTGTAGTTAACTCATTCATTAAACTTGATTAATGTTATATAATATTGCTTGACATTTTATGTCAAAATTATGGGTTATTCAATAGTAATTCAATAGTTCTCTTATGAAACTAAATAAGGACTTGACACACATGACATTGATCACCACCCAGTGATCAATCAATTTCGATAATTATCATTTGAATAACTTTTTATCAAAGTGTACTTTTATTACAATAAATAATGGATTAGTACTTTATTATATCTATATATATTATGTAATAGTCATTTTTAAATGAGAAGTACTTAAGCCTGTAATACACTAATTCATACTCTTTTCAATCATTGGCTATTAATTATTAACCCATTGAAAATAAATTATCTATTTCATCAACTTAAAACTTAATCATCCATAAGAAGGTACTTTAAATAAATAAAATAGAAATCAGTAAATGGGTGAAGTTATTTCATTATTGAAGGATTATCATTTTTGTTTCACAATTTGAACAACAATTTTCATGACCCAAACAACACAGGTAAGTACATATATGTGTTTTCTTGCAGAGAAATTTCTTATTATATGTAACTATAGTAACTGGCTTTTTGTGTTGTGTTATGCCCAAGTATGTTTATTTGATTGTATGCAGTTGAATATACCTTGAATACCTTGACAACCGGATAAAAAAAATATTCTTTATTTGTATTTATTTTTAGCACATATCTTTTTATCTCTTCGTCACTGGATTAATCTCATTTCCTCTAATCAGATAAAACTTCTCAAATAGTCTTAGAGTGAAAACAAATCTCTACTGTTCAGTATTGCACTAACTAACTAATTAACTGACCAATCATTGTTAAAATGACTAGGTCATGAATAGAAAAGAATGGATTTAAATTAAAATATTTGATTTTGGTATGTAGATATTATAGAATGTGTTGTTAATTTGTTGTTGTTTAATATTCTTATATCCATTTTATGACACTTAATAGGAATAATTTTGGTAAATATTTCAATTGAAAGTAAGAATACCATTAATACTTGTTTAAATGATTTATTGGTAGAGGAAATAGGACAATTTATTCAGTACTTTTGATTGGTTGATAGCGTTTTTTCTGGTTAGCGAGTTAGTTTTCTACCGGATGAGGTCGCTAAACCCATTCCCAACCCTCCTCCTTTATCCGTACTTGGGAGCGGCAGTAGCCTCAGAGGGGCTCCAGGAGGAGATTTCTTAATGATAGGTAAACAGTTAATTGATTTTGTTTTAACTGAAGATTTTTATTATTCTCGTGAGTGTGCAGTGCTGAGGAATCCAACAGTAGGACGAAACAGCCGTTCACTGCTGCCAGGTTTTCAATGGTGGTCTAGCTTCAATCGACTAATGATGTCAACCATTAAACTTACTATAATATCCACAAAAATCCCTTCTGATATTTTTATTATCGTTAAAATGTATTTGGATAAAATAATGTAGAAAAACTCGTTCAATATTACCTGAGTTGTTTAAAAAAAGTAGTTAATTCGCTTAATTGGACATTGATCAATTTATTGAATACTAAAGTTTATTGTTCTATGACAACATTATCCATATATATAATCCAACAAGAAGTTGGTTATATGAAAGTAGAGTAAAAGTAGAGGAATTTGAAAAAAGAGAATTAACTGGTTTATATTCAGTAAACTCGAAAATAGTTAAATGTTGATATCCATGTCATTTAAATAGAATATTCCATTATTATGGATTGAATCAAAATCTAAATAATTCATGATATTTATGAAGGATATTTGTCAGAGATTAATCTTAGTTGAAATTCTATTGTAAATCAGAGAACAATAGAATATTCCTTTATCCTAGCATGGAACTCCTTAGTGTTGAGTGCTCTTGACTTCATCAATAGCAGAATCCATAGCTGCTCACATTCATAATCTATCAGGGAATCGAAATTAGAACTTCCACTCCTTTTGATGGATTGATATTTAACGGTTCATATCACAAATTAATATGAATTAATTTAGTTTAAACGTTGTAATATACCATATTAACACGAAGTAATTGACCAATGGTCCGTGGTTTTCAATGATTGTTTACCTTAGATTATTTCATAATGTGAATTATGCATAAATTGAATAATCCCCAAAAGCTATTTGTGTTATTGAATTTTTTTGCTTACTCTTTATATTTTCAGATGGATCTCTCAGATGAGAGAGAAACAAAAGATGAAATAGCACAACCAGTTAGCAGACAAGATAGTCAAATTCTAAAAGAAAGTGATATTAAAAGTATGTGACTAATGAAAATCCATTTAGAGCTGAACTGCAAAACAATTCTGTTACACAACGTCTTTAGAATGTCGTATTATTTATTTAATAGTTGAGTTATTTGGAATAGTTTCGTTATTTTCTTATCAAAATTAGAGGGTTCTGGGCTTGATCCCTGATGGGGTAGTGGGATTCCTTTGACTGCCAAAGGGTCCGCTGCTACAATAGAACAGGTGTTCAGTATTCCCTGGTTTTAAATTTTACTGCAACTGAGATCAATAAGTGACGAATATCACCCATTAATTGTTGATTAATAACTAGTTTCTGATCTACTTATATAACAAGAAAGCTTGTCTCAGCTCACTTCTAAAAGATGTTCTAATTATTCCGGTCTAAAATTTCACACACATGAATCTCATTTTAATAGGTAAATACTACATAGCAATTTAATTGTGAATATGTCAAACTACTTATTCAATCAACTCTGTTTTCTGAAAGTAAAAGGGGACAAAATAAATTTTCACCAAAAACTTTTTCTGAATCGAGAATCGTGATCTTCTTGAGAAACTTTAAAGAAACAAGATTATTCAAATGTTTCACATTAGTGCAGTTCTACTCATTATTTTGCTTTGTAATGGGTTCACAAAGTTTTAATCAGAATTTCGTGACTGTTGGCGTTCAATCATGTTTAGAGTGTGATCATCACTTTAATCGATGTTGATTGAATATTATTGTATTTTTGAATTCGTTGCAGTTGAAAATTTATTACCTTGCATTCTGACTAAATGATCCAAAAGCACTATGCCCACGGTCGGTTTGAAATGTTCTAAGTTTGACCGCGTAAGGAGACGTAAGTAAGCACTGATCTCTAGTCTCAAACTAGGAATAGTTTTTCAGCTAATGCCATTTTGTATGGGTGAATTGCTATAAGCTATGTGAAATAACTAAGATTTAGTTACATTATAAACAACAGCTTGTGGTACATCATTTAATGATGATAACAATAACAATGATCATCATAATAATAGTAATAATATTGATTGTCTAATTTAATAATGATGTTTAATGATGTTCTTATATGTAGGTCTATTTGTAGGCTTTCTTTCGACCCCATAATTGCTGCCATTCGTAAATTATAAGCCAAATAACCAAAAACAGTTGATCAGCTTCGTATCAGAAATAATCTAGTTATGCTTATCTAATAGGATATACAAATAATGTTGTATTATGACCTTATAATATATGCATATAATCACATGATTTACGTGTTTGACTAATAAAGTGTAATTGTGATTACTCATTTTACTTTCTAATGTGCTAGTTAGATGTTTGAAAATGTAAAGACTTTTATGGCTTAGTAATCGTGTAACAAATACGAAGTAATAGGGTTGACGGATTTATTGTTAACGGGAAGGAATAAGAATACAACTTTATTGTACTCACCAAGAAACTTGAGTGTCTACATCCGATCATATATGTGTACATAGCGTGGTGAAACATATTTCTAAAAATAATATAAAACAGAGTTATCCAATGCTCCTTGGATATTTGTTTTTCCTCCAACTAACACTAAATAGTAATTAATAGTCCTAACGAATTGTACAAATTCTTAAGGTAATTCATGGTTTGATATATCTGTATATCATTGGAAAGAGCTTTCTTCAAATTAATTCTCTTCGATGATACCTTACGTCACAGATTAATTTCAGCTTGATCACTAATGAAAATTTCACAGAGCTCTTTTTCAAATTTGTAGATGTATGTAGTTGAGGAAGCTACACGAACTGAGACAAAAGAGAACCAACTATTCAATCATGTTTAATTTTTCTTTGATTTTAATGTCTATTCAAAATCAGGTGATTTTAATATAGGCTACAAAGACATAGATCTCCTCTATTCAATATTGATCTTAATTTTCTTTTGCATGTAATTATAGGTATGTACGATTCACTTTCTTCGGCAAAAAGTCGAAAAGTCACTTTAAATCAAATATGTCGTTGTTTACAAATGCTTAATCAATGTCCTAATTCAGCTACTTTGGATAAAATCTATTCTGATTATACACCTGAAGATATGGAAGGGACTGGATCAGGTAAGCTTTCCTAATTAGGTGTAACAAAGGAAAAGTATGAATTAATAAATTTTATTAATGATAAAAGTACTGGATTCGAGTTTTGGTATTCAAAATAGGACATCCTGGATTCCGCAAATGATCACATTTCATTTATTTTATGAAAACTTGTAACATAATGACTATTCGAAGTCAACCTTACTGGACGCACATATGTTTGAGTAATAGTAATCAGAAATTAGTCTTCAGCATCAAAAATACTCTTTCCCAAATTATATGAAATCGCATACATGATATTGGTTGAAAATGGTCTTAATAATAATAATAATAATAATAATAATAATAATAATGTTATCACCATTTATTGATAGTCACCAGCTGTCTCTTATCACGCATTAATATTGACCGTGAAACATTTGAAGACCAGGTAGCAGTGGAGAGTTGTTATGTCCAGGTATGTAACTCCGCAATGCAGTGGATAGTGAAGAAAACTGAACACAGAAAATATTTTCTGACATATTTGTAAAAAGTTGTCTCCACAATTCTATATCACGTACCAAACATGTTATAAAGGATAAGTTCAATCAAACTGACAATATCTAATAGTAAACCCTTAACTGTAGATTTTATTCAAAAAAGTCTTTGTAGTCTATGATCTGACTCACTTACTAAGGAAATTCTGAATGTTTTTAAAGTTTAAAGTAGACGGAAGGAGAAAATGCAGTCTAATTAGAAAGCAAAACATTTGAACACAATACAAAATGACTCAGACTAACTTGAACAGGAACATGTAATCGATAAGCCTTAGCTGAACAATTGATCCACTTATCTATGATAGGTCGGTTGCAATTATAGCTAACTTACTGTGTATTACCTTGGTGTTGTGTGAATTATGTGGTTTGATTCGATACACCTAAAATGAAAATCATATTATGGAAGATCTATTTCACATGAATAAGTAAAATTCAACAACCAGGTCTGTTGTGAGATATGAACTCAATTAAGACAATGGTGTACGGTGGCGCAACTTCGTGGATTGGTTGAAGTTAGACATTAACACCATTGTGTGCCGGCTCAGTGGTCTGGTTGGTTAAGCGCGTGGCGTGAGACTGGTAGGTCCTGGATCCGAATCTCGCGGGGTGCGGGATCGTGAATGCGGAGTCCCACGCTAGGACGAAACAGCCGTCTAGTGCTTCCAGATTTTCCGTAGTGGTCTAGCTTCAATTGACTTATGATTTGAATCAGTGAAATTTCTCAAAATCTCCACAAAATTCTTTCTGATAACTAGATGAGAAGTTGGTTAATTAAAAAGCTGTCTAATCTTTCACCAAATTATGCATTCATTTTCAGTTGTATAGTTAAAGATTAATCATAATAAATATTCAATATGACAAAAATTCAGTAACTGAAACACTGAACTATAGTTTATAACAAACTGTTAATATGTCTATTATCCATAAAATGTTAGGTAAAAGTTGAATTCCGGATATGAATTTAAGTGAATATCAAAGTTATGAGATTTTCAAGGTTACCAGCTTAGTCGGAAGACAGTTTTATTGAATATAAATAGACATCACTTCTGTAGAGTAATTTTATATTTTTCCGTCTGATTTATTGATTTGTATACACATCCTAAACACTTGCTTAACCAGAGAAAGAGACTAAAACAAAACGTAGGAAGCCAGATTGCTTAAATTAGGATGAATATGTATATAATTTACTGGATTAATCCAGATCGAGTTATGAAGTGGTAAACGAGCTCAAAATTGGATATTTGAAATATGATATGACCTAGCAACAAAATGTGATCTATTAGGACTTACACGGGGTATTAAATGATTAAGAAAACTGAAACACGTTTGATGGATAGTTTTTAAACTAAAGTTTTACTGACCGCTAAAAAGATAACACTCATTTCACACAAAGTTATTTAAAAGTACGCCAACATAGACTCAATTTCTTAACTAAATGAATCAGAAATCATCCAATTAATTCTTTGGAGATGAACTCAACACAATGTTTATGTACATAAATGCAACACCGCTAATGACAAATAATAACAAGTATCTCAAAGTAAACTGAATTTAAATTAGTGAAAACTATGGAAAATTCAACTTCTAATTGCGATCACCTTGGATAATGTTGTTTATAGTGACAATGAGAAATTTGTAGTTAATGCATTTGCTGTAAAAAAATTCAGTATCATTAATAGCATATAACTGGATTGAAAAGATGATCCATCATTTCGAAATTTGGCATTAAAGGGTGATCATAAATGTTGATCAGTGTTATGTGATTAATGGCAATCGACAGGGCCTTACGTTTTAATCGACTTTGTACTTGTCAAAAAAATACATCTCCAGTTTTCGGTGGATTAACTCTATAATTTGGATTCAGATTCAAATTCTTCAGTTTCACAGTCCAAGACGTTTTTATGGGGTTATTGGTTCTGTGCTGACCTGTAGGATTTTTATATTTATAGTGTTTGATGTGTAGCAATCAATATCATATTTATGTACTCTTTATTGCTGATGCGAACTCGGTCTCATCTTAAGTAGCTCACTGTTAGCATATCAAGGTGTAACAATCTAGACTCTAATCCCACCTGAGGCATCAGTGCCCTGAGGACTGCAGATATCCGTTAGTGACCAGTGGCAGCTAGCACGAGACTTTGATTCAGGCCTCTTTCGAAATGACTCCGACCAACTAACACATTACTATTAGTTTAATTAAATCATATCTATTTCTTCATCGAGCTTATTTGAATCACGAACAGTGTTTAGAATCAGTGTTAAGTCGGTTTTAATACTCTGTCCTTGTTCTTTTCTCATTCAAATTGTTTTTTGTGTATTGCTTTATATTACTTGTTAATATTCAGTAAACAGTTCTATTTATAACTATTTCTGAAAATATCGTAAAATTTACTGCATTTATCACTATAATTACTTTCCCTCAGCCCTTGTGACAGTCATTCTCAGTTGTTTTTTTGAATTCCTTAAATCTTTGTCTGATAGTAACAGCTTTCATATTTGTGTACTCTTAGTTCTCATTTTGGACGTTGATTAACTGCCATTAACACTAAACATAGAGTGAGACTATAATTTATGGACGAATCAATCAGATTTAAGATAGCAGGTCTTGAATTTTGGCGCGAAATTCATTCACTTATTTGGTTAAACATCATTTTGACGTTATACCTGATGTCATTTCGTAATGAAAACATCAAATCTAATTCTTAATCCTAACGTTCAACTGTAGATCCTATTCCTAATTCTTTACAATAATCTATAACCATCCTTTAACCTTAGTTAGTAGGTGGACAATCCAAAGTCATTTTGATGTTGCTCAAAGATCGTCTATAAATTATATTCTCATCAAGGATGGTTCCTTAAACAGATCATTGTTTGTTTTTTTGAACCTATATTTCACACACTTTGATAGAATTAATAATAATCCTTTTTCAAGTTAAATAATGAGTGAATTTTCATCATGGCATGTGTAACGTTTATACTTCCTTTTTCAATTTATAGAGAGTATTGCTATAGATTTGAATCAATTTACTGAAATAATTCAAACATATTCCTATACAAGAGAGGAAAGATTGAATCAACTGAACAATGCATTTTTGGTGAGTTATTATCATAAATCATGAAAACAACAACCAGGTTTCATTATGATTAGTCTCTAGATAAATTGGGCTAATTTCTGACTATGTGTGACAATTACAATCCAATATCAGTTAATGATAATTAATACAAATCGAGGTAATATTTAAGAGGAAGAGGTGATAAAAAATGGAAAGATGGGAAATTTCAATAGTTTTGTGCACATTCTACATATAGACTTATCGAACAGTTGTTTTTGTGTATTTTCCTAATTGTATAACTATTTTGTACTTAATAATTGTAATGAATGACACGTTAATACACTACAGATCTGTTAATTAGTCTTGTATCAAAATGGCAGTTATTTATATAATAAAATGTTTAAATTGTAATCTATTATGAGGTTGTATATTGTATAATATAGAATTATGTGAGTTATTGTGGTATGTGCTGCTGATATCTACAAATATAAGTAGTATCACCTATCAAATGTGAAATATCTGATAGCAGAAAGTTAAAAAGATCGAAGAAAAGCGAACGAGAACAATGAATGATTGCTATGGAAATAAAGGAACAGTGAATTCGGAGACGATTGATTAATATTTGCAAATGAAGTGTTTACTGTATAGTTCATAGAATTTACTAAGATTTTTTGTGATTTTGTGTTCAAATACATTCGATTTTCTCCATTTATGTTCTTGTTCACTATATTATAAGTTTAACTAATAAAATGTGCTAGGAATAACTCATTTATATCTTCTAGTATTCTAAATGGTAGTTTGAAAAAGTAGGATCAGTGAAAGTAACTTTTAAGGGACGAGCCAATCAAAATTAAAGAAACCACTTTCGAATTTTCTCGTAAAATCTTAACATAAACATCCTGAAATGGTGGAGAAGATTTGAAGGTCAAGTGAATGATTTTGATGGAGTTTTGTTCTCTGAGCTGGATGGTTTGATCGTGGAGCTTCCATCGTCGTTCTTCTACATGAAGTTTTTGCTGATGATGTCGTTCAGAAAAACAATGAAAGCTCCATGACTAAACCATCCAGCTCAGAGAACAAAACTCCATGAAAATAAACGTCTTTAATAATTTTTTAACATTAAATATACAATAGAAATATTTTTATTTAGGTATTTAGATTGTTTAAATTTATTAAGAAGAATTCCTTTTTTCATCACAAAGTAAAATATGATAATGTTAGACTTGAAATTTGCTCGTTACTGTATATGCATTATTATTATTATTATTATTATTATTATTACTATTAATGGCTTTATTCAATATTATATTTGTGGTTCAACATAGGATTCTCAGCACAAAGTATTTCAACAAGTTCCCTTTTCTTATTTCTTGATCGATCACGGCGAGAAATAATGAGTGATCGCTAGTTAGATGTCAGCAGTTCAGAAGTCGACATTTGAATGATGTTCATCCTTTTCAATGCTTACTTCCAACTATCACGATGTCTGTGATTGCACTTTTTTGTAAGTTGTACAGCGAAAGGTTGTAAACATCTCATAAACACGCCTGAATAGGTTATGGAATTAGTTGAACTAATGATGTGTTAAATCAAACAAAAACATGTAACTTGTTAAAATATCTAGATGACAGGAACAGGTAGACAAGATATTCCATCTGGCCTCTAGTTAATCAGTTTAATTTCAATTTACATGGTTTGTAGCAGACTAGTAATGAAATTATTTTATTAGTGATTCAATAAATAATAATAATAAGCTGTTTCAAAAAGAATACTAAAATATATGGTGATTTCTACGTATGAATTTTCTTAACCACAGTTTTTCTTCAGTGAATTTATTAGAGTAGATTTTGAAGGTGACAATAAACTTTGATGATAGTAGTCTAAAGAACATTCAGTGAGAAAACTTTAGTGTGGACAAATTTGATCATAATTAATGAAGTTATATAATGATATTTCTACAATATTAAGATTGGAAAACTGATAATAAGCCTTGAAAAATCAATAAGCTTCCTAAAGTCACAATATTGTTGCAGGTTGAATGAATTCTCTCACAAAATAGACTCTCTGTTGATTGGCCTAAAGGTGGATTACTGTAGACATTCTTGTGTTTACAGCAATCCTGAGGTAAATACTGTGGAAGTGGATTTGTTATTTTATGGCGTAGGGAAGGTACAGCACAGTTTGACAATTATTTCCCTCTGCTAAATATTTCAATCAACAATTACTGCGAAGATGACTATACTAAGTAATCTTCAACAAACACTGTGGCCTATGAGATCAGTCAAATGAGAAGTGAGAACAAGTACTCATTGATAACATTAAGTAGCCATAATGAAATACCATGGACTAATATTGACATGTTCGCTTGGAAATTTTCGATGATGTTTTTTACTGGATGCACAGTAATAAATAACACTTAACTAATATGAATTAGCTGTTTAGTGTCGAACAACAAAATTACTGACAAAATTACTAATTCTCAGTTCGTCGTGTTCGCTGCTGTTACCTGAATGCTACCACTTCTATCCCAAGTGAACTTTGTGGAAGTGCACTTTTAAAAATCCCCTAACCAAGGCTAAATAGACTTATAGCACTGTCTAGGTAACATTTTTTCAGATTAACATCAACACTGAATGTCGTTCTATAGAAAATAACAATCCAGAAATAGTACTTATTGATGGTAAGTAGTATATTCAGTAAAACATGATTTCATTTTACCTACTGCATTTGAATACATAACATTTACATTAACTTTACCTTATTTTGACTTTTCTTACAAATATTTTACTAGTTTTTTGATAAAAATGAATCTGGTGTCGTGGATACAGAACCAATGAAAACAATGCTGTTAACTGTCGGTGACTGTTTTACAGATAAGGAGTGTAATGAATTTTTTAAAGAAGCTGCACCTGGAACAGATGGCAAATGGCCTTATGATGGTATGTGACCTGGAGGAAGTGGGTATCGAGGTAGTGAAAGGAAGACATCATGAAACTGTTGGTCTTTATTGAAAAAAATTCTAGAATTTTGCTTATACATAGAATTTACACAACATTATCCTAATCAATGTGAACTTTCTAGAAACATTAGTGTTGAATAAGATAGACAAGATAATCTGATAACCATATTTTTTGGTTAGGGTTTTTTCAGCGAGTTATTTTTCTACGAGATGGGGTCACTGACCCCATGCCCAACCTTCCTCCTTTATCCGGGCTTGGGACCGGCAGTAGCCACGGGGGGGGGCTTCAGGCGGAGTTGATGACCATATTACTTAATTTGAAAATAGATCTCGTTGTTTAAACCACAGACTGACTGTACTTAAAGAACCACAGAAAATTAGAAATTATTGGACAACTATTTCGTGCTAGTAATAAACTTCTCTGATGTACTGATCTGTGACTTCTGCAGGGACTGAACCTAACGCTTTTAGGCCTTGAAGTGAGCTTGTAATAGAGAGAAGAAAGAAAACTATAATCAGATCAATTATCAGAGGCTTTAACAAAACAACTAAACAATCTTGTTAGTATTATAGGTTCATCTATAATCAGTAAAGCAGCTGGCTCAATAAAATTGCGAATGAAATTCGTCAGATTTTCGCAAAAATGTTTGATAACATATTCATTCAAATGGAAATGATATGACAGTAACCTTTAGACTATTACTGGTATTATTACTATGACGGACATTGTTTAAACTGAACGATCACTTTAAGAGCTCTGATAATTTGAAATAAAATGTCCATTACGTTAAACCTCTTACCATATAAAAACAATAATACCATGACAAAAATTAATCTGTTATTATTAGTGGCTTTATTTAATATTATATTTTTGTTACAACATAGAATTCTTTGCACAAAGTATCTCAGTGAGTTTCTGTTTCTTATTTTTTGATCGATATTGAAGATGAAAAGTGAGCGATTGCCAGTTATATGTTAGCAGTTCAGAAGTCGACATCTGAATAATGTTCATTCTTTTCAATGCATAATGCAAGCTATCACGATGACTCCGACTGTAAATTTTTGGAACTTGTACAGCGAAAGGTTGTAAACATTTCAAAAACGCACCTGAATAGGTTATGCAATCAAACAAGGAAACAAATAACTTGTTAAAATATCTAGAAGGCAATAACAGATAACTCAAATATTCAAGCAGGCATACTTACTTAATTACGCCCGTTACTCCCAATGAAGCATAGGCCGCCGACCACCATTTTCCAACCCACTCTGTCCTCTGCCTTCCTTTCCTGTTCTATTTAATTGTTGTTCATTCCTCTCATGTCCATCTCCATTTCTCGACGTAGTGTGTTCTTTGGTCTTCCTCTTTTCCTTTGGCCTTGAGGATTCCATGTGAGGGCTTGTCTTGCGACGCAGTTGGGTGCTTTCCGCAATGTGTGTCCTATCCACTTCAAGCGCTTCTTCCCGATTTCTTCCTCCGCTGCGATCTGGTTTGTTCTCTCCCACAGTACGTTGTTGCTGATAGCGTCCGGCCAACGGATCTGAAGTATTTTGCGTAGACAACTGTTAATGAACACTCGTATGTTCTGGATGATGGCTTTTGTAGTTCTCCAAGTTTCCACTTCATACAGTGGAACTGTCTTGACATTTGTATTGAAAATCCTGACCTTGGTGTTGGTTGACAGTTGCTTTGGGTTCCAGATGTTCCTCAGTTGTAAATATGATGCTCTTTCTTTGCCGATCCGCGCCTTCACTTCTGCATTATCAATGATACTGCCCAAATATATAGAGGTTTTTACATCATCCAAATCTTCTCCGTCAATTGTGATTGGATTGTTGCATGCTGTGTTGTATTGGAGAATCTTTCTTTTCCCTTTGTGTATATTGAGACCTACTGCTGCCAAGGCTGCTTCCACTGCTGCTACACTGGTCGTCTTCTACTGCATTTGTTGTTGCGTGTGCGATAGACGAGTCAGATCATATGCGAAGTCTAGATCGTTTAACTGCATCCTAGCTGTCCACTGTATCCCGTGCTTCCCCTCAGTTGTTGACGTCTTCATGATCCAGTCGATTAGCAGGAGAAAGAGAAAGGGTGAGAGTAAGCAACCTTGCCTAACAAAGGTCTTCACTTTGAACGACTTTGTCAACTGTCCACCATGCTCGATTTTGCAGTGTAATCTATCATATGAATTCTGTATGATATTGACTATCTTCTGAGGCACGCCGTTGTGTTGAAAAATTTTCCATAGTGTTGTTCTGTCCACGCTGTCAAATTCTTTTTTGTAGTCAATGAAGTTGATGTAGAATGATGAATTCCATTCAATTGATTGTTCCACAATGATCCGTAGAGTTGCGATTTGGTCTGTACACGATCTATCATTACGGAATCCTGCCTGTTAGTCATGAAGTTGAGCGTCTACGCAGTCCTTCATTCTGTTTACTAATACCCTGTTGAAGACTTTTCCCGGTATTGAGAGAAGAGTGATGCCCCTGTAGTTATCACAGTTGCTGAGATCGCCTTTCTTCGGTATTTTGATCAGAAGTCCTTCATTCCAGTCTGTTGGTACTTGTTTCTCATCCAAAATCTTATTAAAGAGAATGTGGAGTATCTTTGCAGTTACTGCTACATCTGCTTTCAGTGCCTATACTGGAATGTTGTCTGGTCCTGCTGCTTTGCCACTCTTGATTTGTCTGATGACCTTGCTGATTTCTTCAATTGTTGGTGGGCCAACTTCGATTGGGAGGTCCATGAGTGCTGCTTCGATGTTGGGTGGGTCCAGTGGGGCTGGTCGATTCAACAGTTATTTGCAGTGTTCTATCCACCTGTTTCGTTGTTCTTCAAGGTTGGCAATTACCTTGCCTTCCTTGCTTTTCACTGGTCGTTCTGGTTTACAGTGATTTACAGAGAGTTTCTTTGTCGTACCTTAAAGTTGTCTCATGTTTCCTTCTCTTGTAGCCTTTTCCGCCGTCTTTGCAAGATCTTCCACATATTTATGTTCGTCGGTTCTGATACTCCTCTTCACTTGTTTGTTTACTTCTGTGTATTCAGCTTGTGCTTTGGCTTTTTCTGCTCTTGTTCGACTGGTATTGATTGCTGCCTTCATGTTCCTCCTTTCTTGAATCTTATCCAGTGTATCAACAGTGATCCATTCCTTGTGATGGTGCTTCTTGTGACTCAGGACCTCATGACATGTTGAAGTGATTGCCTCTTTGATCCCCTTCCAGTTGCTCTCCACAGTAGCTCCTTCTCCATTGAGTAGATCATGAAAGGCCTGGAACTTGTTGCTGAGGACTATCTTGAATTTGTTGAGTTTGTTAGTATCCTGAAGAAAGGCCGTATTGAACTTTTGTGATATTGTCCGCCCCATTGTCCAGTGTTTCTTGAGTTTCAATTTCATCTTGGCGACCAGCAAGTGATGATCTGATGCTATATCAGCTCCTCTCTTGATTCTCACGTCCTCTATAGTCCTCCTGAACGTTTTGTTGATGCAAATATGGTCGATTTGGTTTTGCGTGGTGTGATCCGGTGAAGTCCATGTGGTTTTGTGTATGCGTTTATGTGGGAATATGGTGCCGCCTATGACCAGTTTATTGAAGGCACATAGGTTTGCAAATTTCTCACCATTTTCGTTCCTTTTTCCCAGTCCGTGTTGTCCCATGATATATTCATATCCAGTGTTATTCGTCCCAGCACTGGCACTGAAATCTCCCATCAGAATGGTCAGGTCCTTTGTTGGGCACTTCTCGATGATTGACTGCAGCCTATTGTAGAATTGATCTTTAGCGTGTTCATTGTAATCGTTGGTAGGCGCATAGCATTGGATGATGTTCATTGGAATGCCCTCTTTCTTTGTTTTGAAGGAGGCTTTGATGATCCTTGGTCCATGAGATTCCCATCCTATAAGTGCCTTTTGTACCTGTTTGAACAGTATCAATGCAACTCCTTGTGTATATGGAGCATTTTCTTCTTCATGGCCGGAGTATAACAAAAGCTACCCTGAAGCTAGTCGTTGTTGTCCAACTTGAGTTCAATGTGTTTCACTGATCCCAAGCACCTCCAGGTTGTATCTTCTCATTTCTGCAGCGATTTGGAAGGCTCTCCCGGTGTCCCACATTGTACGAACATTCCATGTACCTAAATAAATGGTCGCTCTACTTGTCAGAAGGGGCATCGGCCTCGTAACTTCCAAAGAAATTCGGCTTTCATCATGAGGCGTCATAGTTCTGGTTAGCGCTTTTTAGCGAGTTAGTTTTCTACGGGACGGGGACGCTAACCCCATGCCCAACCCTCCTCCTTTATCCGGGCTTGGGACCGGCAGTATCCACTGGAGGGACTTAGGCGGAGTTCAAGCAGGCGTAACACATTGAATAATATGTCCGTTTTGTTTAAATCAATGAAGTGAACATTTTCTATGTTGTTCTAAAGATTTAATGTATATATATATATATATATATATATATATATATATATATATATATATATATATATATATATATATATATACGAAGATTTTTGTTTTACATATTATATCAAAGATTTTGTTAAAAAGCTGGTCGATGCTTATCCACGTCCACAATCAAAGAAAGCGAAATCTGCAGGAACAGGTAAAAAGAGGAGTGCTAGAAAATGATTAACATTTTAACTAACATTTCATAAACCGTAGTGATTTACTTTTTCAAGAACCTATAAAATGTTGAAGAATGATTAGATCTAAGTTATAAGTATTCAATATTTAAATATATTTTATGATTACACTTGTATATTGTTCATCTTATGATATGTTCATGGATTAATTGGGGTACATGTTGAGGATTAACTCTATGAACAGTAAGACTCATTTGTGATTGAAAAGTATCCAGGAAGAAATATTTGAACAGCTTTTGACAAATACTTATGTGTTAAGTAGAGGGCTGGTTTGTCTTTGTTGTGGGAAATTTTACTGCCTCAATAAAGGCTATTTCACTGTACAACTAATCTATGTATATAATCTTAAGTTCACCTTAAAAAGGCAGTACATAAATAATATAATAAAAAATAAGGTGTTAAATTAAGAAAGTGTAAACCTTAACGAAGGAAGTAAAGATTATAGACCTGCTTTACAATCAGTCCTAATAAGACAAGTGTCAAAAACAACCAATCATATTCAAAATCGACAAAGCATGCTGCTAGTCACTTGTAGAGAAAATTTCATGACTCCCCTCTGCTAGAAGTTTGTACCGATACTGTTATTTAAGTATATAAAAAATCTTCACAACTAAATCATTTAACTCAGATAATGCAGTTCCCATAAATTTATGCACTTAAACAATAAATCAGCTTGATTATCTCGGAAAAATGAGACGATTTTTACAAAAATGTGGTCAGATTTCAGTATACTTAAATGAGAAGAATCGCTGCCTAGTGATAAGATTATTTTTCAACCTTCAGTTGACACAATATGCAAGGTATTATTTATGTTTCTGTACACAGTTAACATTTTTTTTAATGAACTGCATTACTCCTGGAAAATGTTAACTGTTATCAAACTGCTTCAAAATTAACGGCGTCTACGTCAAATTAAAACATCACGAAATACTACTTTGAAAATCACACTACTAATAAGTAGCCTAAAATGGTCAGTGAAAAATACATGTGCAGAGGTTTGAGTACCAAGTTGAAAATGACATGGTAATGCAAAGGGTTCAAAAACTTCACTTCTGTGGTACCATTTTACAGTTATATGACACTACTTTGTAGCACAACTTTTCCGTTTAAGGTGCCGTTAATCTAAGGAAGCCATCACAGTAAGTGGGATAATACTCTTTGACAATACGATGTTTTGAACTCGACAGAGTTCGGTTAGTCCATCAACTGTAAACAACATAAAAGCCGAGGCATCAACAGATCATTGGCGATGTCTCAAAATTCTAATGGATGCAACAACTTCTTCGGCGCTGTAGAAATACCTTGTTACTGAACGGTAACTATGACAAAACCCAGACCAATCACAGTTTCGTGTCAACTCCCTCTGAACATTGGGGACTGTTTTCACTGCATGTGATATAACCAAGATCTAAATTCGACTGAAACTAGCCGATATATCATGATCAGACACTTAAGAATTTCGCTGTTCACCATGTGTTATCATCTGAAATAATAGTGATACTTAGTTATGATAATCATAATTTTATCAATAATATGATGTTTCATTTTACTGAGCAACATACCGTCAGTTTTTTTCCATAACAATCGTATACACACAAACATTTATGTTCACATTGCTTATCCAAGGTCAAATGATAGCCGTAAGCTAAAATATTGCTATAGTCTTATCGCTTTAGTTTATTGGGAAACGCTTTTTTTATCATCATAAATCATCATCACTTAATTAATTTGTTTTCAATTTAAACGATCAAGTGTTTGAATTAAATGTAAACTTTATAAGTACTCATCAAATGTAAGTTTAACTGAGAACTAAATTGAAGCAAGGTAGGGTGAAGGGTGATATATGTAAACACTAGCATTTCATGATATTAGAGACTTTAAAAGTGTTATCAAAAATCGAAGAATCTGAAGTGAGTGAGTATAGATAGTTCTTTTAAATAATAATACAAAACTAAATATTGAATGAAATTATTGTCGTTAAAATACAAATCATTTGTCGTGTTTACATGTTATTTGTTTAAAACACTAAAAAAATGCTTTTTTTAAACAGTATTTTGGTTGATTATAGCAAATAAACTTCATTGAATATAAGAAAGAACTTGATAGCGTGGACAGGGCACTATGGCATGACTGAGAAGATAGTTAATATCATATGTAATTCCTATGATGGATTAAACCGAAAAATTGTGCATGAAGGACAGATCACAGATTAGTTCGAAGTCAAGACAAGTGTCAACTTTCCTCTTCCTCATGCTGATCGACTGGATCATGAAGACGTCAACAACTGAGGGGAAGCACGGGATACAGTGGACAGCTAGGATGCAGTTAAACGATCTAGACTTCGCATATGATCTGACTCGTCTATCGCACACGCAACAACAAATGCAGTAGAAGACGACCAGTGTAGCAGCAGTGGAAGCAGCCTTGGCAGCAGTAGGTCTCAATATACACAAAGGGAAAAGAAAGATTCTCCAATACAACACAGCATGCAACAATCCAATCACAATTGACGGAGAAGATTTGGATGATGTAAAAACCTCTATATATTTGGGCAGTATCATTGATAATGCAGAAGTGAAGGCGCGGATCGGCAAAGAAAGAGCATCATATTTACAACTGAGGAACATCTGGAACCCAAAGCAACTGTCAACCAACACCAAGGTCAGGATTTTCAATACAAATGTCAAGACAGTTCCACTGTATGAAGTGGAAACTTGGAGAACTACAAAAGCCATCATCCAGAACATACGAGTGTTCATTAACAGTTGTCTACGCAAAATACTTCAGATCCGTTGGCCGGACGCTATCAGCAACAACGTACTGTGGGAGAGAACAAACCAGATCGCAGCGGAGGAAGAAATCGGGAAGAAGCGCTTGAAGTGGATAGGACACACATTGCGGAAAGCACCCAACTGCGTCGCAAGACAAGCCCTCACATGGAATCCTCAAGGCCAAAGGAAAAGAGGAAGACCAAAGAACACACTACGTCGAGAAATGGAGACGGACATGAGAGGAATGAACAACAATTAGATAGAACAGGAAAGGAAGGCAGAGGACAGAGTGGGTTGGAAAATGGTGGTCGGCGGCCTATGCTCCATTGGGAGTAACAGGCATAATTAAGTAAGTAAGTAATATCAAATAAAAGGATACAAACGTATTTGAGTAGTAGTGGCAAAAGTTAATGAAATTGAAAGAAATATACTTACTCCTGTAGGGATGCAGTTGAAACTAGACATGAAATTCGTTATTAATGTGTATCTACAATATTTTCATAGATCGAGCTTGGGAGATTTAGATCTAATAGTGAGTGAGTTTTTGACTACCTAGTCATTATTCAGTGGTTGTAACTAATTGTATCAACTAAATCCTGATAAAACACAATAAAATTCAATCCCATTGAAAAGTATTTGTTTTACTTTAGACATGGTTAGATCTCCTCAGCTAAAAACTATCACTTAAGCTTCCTAATTACATAGTTTTCAACTCCACTTATTTAATATTATAGGCGAATGGTCACCTTATTTCTCAAGTTAATGGACAAAGCTTGTGAATTAAGGCAATATCGAGGCATACGCACAGTATGCACATATGCCAATAACAGACTGATCAATCGCAGTCTTAAACTTAAATGGGAAGATACAAGCCGAACAATACCAAGTGAATTTAATGGACAATAGTTTGTCACTGCTTAAGTGTCACTATTCAGGATAATAGTTTACAGTTGATTTTACTTCGTGATACAAAACAGAACTAAAACTCACTCGTTACAAATGATATTATCAAAATGAAAATATACTAAAAAAAGCAAACCTATATGATTTAACTCTCCACCTTGATTGCGATTCTTACCTTACTATCTTCGTAATAAATTAAATGTGTAACATTTATAATAACATCACTGTAATATGCTTAGAATAAAATGCTTTGTTCTCATGAAATATAAATAGATAGACTGTGGCAATCCAATACGAGAAGCTTGGTTCAAACTATTTGGAACTGATCAACAATAATATAACTTAAACCTCCCTATAAATATCACACCCATTGTACAAGTAAGTTGTAATTTGAACTCAATAACTCAAGGTATGACATAGTGTGCATATAAATCGAACATTACTGACTTCAAGTCTCAGTCTGGACATTAACACTGAGATCAAGATTGATACAGCTATGGAATACGGAAGAGGATTAAATTCGCTTCTCGGATTTCATTGTTAGCCATTATATTACAATATTAAGACACGAATTTCAGAGAAGGGATCTCTTTTCAACGAATTTATTATCAAGCTGTACAATCGTATATATATGAAAAATTTTTTGATTTTGTAAAAGTACTAATTCCGTGAGGAAATATGAACACAGTTAATAAAAAGGTTATAATAATAGATTACGTAATATGAATAATAATAATAACAATAGATTTAGTGATTATAATAAGATGATTAAAATGATTAAAATGTTTTTGTTATAATAATAATTGGCCGTAGCCAGCGCTCGCTTTCAACTCGGATACGGGAACATATTCCGGCTTGGTTCTATAAGGGGGAAAGGAAAGCAGTTAGGAGTTCTATACTTGAACACCTAATCGACTGTAACCATTCCACTGATCCAAGAAATGAATTTAAGATTGTTTATATGATTCGTTCAAATCTACCTAGATTTCTTCGCATCCAACTTTTAAAAATAGCCGAAGCTCTTACCATCCAGGAGCTTAAACCAGAACTATGCGTACAAAAGAAGTACGTCTTATCGTTATCGTTACCTTGGTCTTAAGTATTTTGATTGCCCTATTATTATTATTATTATTATTATTATTATTATTATTATTCCTGCATTCTCCCCTTTACTTATATCTTATATTCTGATTGTTTTATTAGTGAATACTCGTCATATCACCATATTTATTTATTTTTACACCTCTATGACCTTTAATTATTATTATAACAAAAACATTTTAATCATTTTAATCATCTTATTATAATCACT